TGCGTAACGAAGTGCGTAACGAAGTGCGTAACGAAGTGCGTAACGAAGTGCGTAACGAAGTGCGTAACGAAGTGCGTAACGAAGTGCGTTAAGAGGTTTATTCTTTAAAAAAAAAAGAAAAGTTTTAGAAGATAAAAAGTCTATGCTTCGAATATACTCTTGAATATTGTATGATTTTAAGTAAATCACATTTATAGCATTCTCGGTTTAAAAAATTCATTTTATATCCTTTGTGACTTACAGTATACGTAATCATTATTATTATTATTAAATATAAAAAAAATTGCCCTTTTAATCTGGAGCACTCGTCCTTATCAATTTGTGCTGGTATCCATTTGTACTAGTAATGCTAGTAATACTAGTAATACAAAGTTTTAAGGAAATGCCTAATCAATATATTTTTTTTATCGTACGATAGATCAAAGACAAATATTTAACTAATATTAAGTGTAATACAGTCAACTCCTTTTTAGGTTGTTAATGGAGTGCTTCGGTGTGGGTTATATGTTTAACAACCCTACTCTTTCTGTACTCTTTCTGTACTCTTTCTGTACGGTTCTATATCGAACTTCTATGTATGAAATTTTTATAATTTGAGTTCGTTATACGTATACTGTATACACCGTATATATATAGGGGGTTCATTACATTCATTATATCCAGAATCGACCGTATATACGTATACGTACAGTACGTACGTATGTACGTAGCTGTTTTTAATTTCTTTTTTTGTCAGTTTTTTTGATTCTAAGTACGTTCCCCAAAATATTCAATTTAGAAATCATGGCATTTTTTTTTGTATAACCGACATGGAAAATCCCAACTCTTGGTACATTCTTGTCCAACGATAATCACAATCACGGACCAAGAAATAACCAATGCAAAAAGTCCAAACTACTGAACAATGGTGTTGGCGTAGATATGTGTACGAGGTTGATATCTTCAGCAAATGAGAAACCTAGTTCTTGTTAATGAGAACTGAAAATCAGGCCATGTTTTTTTTTTCTCCTCGAATAATCTAGTCATCTGTTATGTGTTGTACTTCTACGTACATACCATCTTAACGAATCGTAGTGAGCAATATTAAAAATTTGACATAAAAAGAAGTGAATATGTGATTTCACACATTGTTTTTTTATTTGCAAAGTTTAAAAATGTACACGCATAATCATGTGATTCACAACATTACGTACTATCGAAAAACGTCATTTTTTTGACACAATTTTCTCTTTTTTTGACACTTTGAAAAAAACTTCAGTTTCGTTTCGGTTTCGTTACGGTTTCGTTTCGTTTTCATTTCACATTTCATTTCACATTTCATTCACTTTTCACAACATTTATCACTTGAAAATCAATCAAAAAGATTTAATATATATTTTTTAAAAAATTTTTTTCAATCTTTATTGAAATCAATTTTTCAAATTTTTTTTTTTCTTTTTAAAAAAATTTGCATTTTCAATTCTTTTTACAAACAAAGTTTTTTCAAAAAAAAACGATAATTATGCTAAAAAAAAAAAAAAAAGAGAAAAGAAGAAATAATTATAAATCAAAGAAATATAAAAAAAAAAAAAAAACAAAATAAGACAAAATATATATAAAATAAAAGAAAAAAAGCAAAATTAAAATGGTGGTTGAGCGAAATAGAAAAGAAGATAGATAACCGATATTTTTTTTAACAAAAAATAATTTTTTAAAAGAATAATAGAAATAATAGTAGTGGTAGTAGTAATAATAGTAGAAAAGACTATTTTTTTTTTTTTTTTTTTGTTTTTTTTTTTATCCCGGATCGATCGTAATATTGATATAAATCTTTTATATAATTCATATTTAAGGTTATAATAGTATCTTATAAATATATAAAAATATATAAAATATATAATTTTTTAGTAAAAAAAGCATATCTTTTAAAAGGCATAAAATATTTTTTTTCCGACCATATTAAGCTTAAAGTTTTTGAGTTAAGAGTTAATTTTTTTGAGGCATAATTTGAAAGATTCGGTTATCATCTGAAAAACCGAGCATGGTAGCCAGCCACCATATTCGAAAATTAGAGCGTTGGGGGATATTATATTAAGAATAAGAGTAATAAGATAATATAGGTATTTATATAGTAAGTAATAATTTTTATACGTAATTTTTTGCCGTGATCGCAATAAATACTAATAAGCATAAATTGGGAATCACGATAAAATTGTGTCAAAAAAAAAGAAAAAAAAGATAAAAAGTTGATAGTGCGTTTGGCATTGTGTGATGATGGTGGATGAAATTGATGAATGAGTAAAGAATGCAAAGAATGCAACTTCTTTGATATTTTTAGCGACTTAAGGCATCCGAATTCAAAGCATAAGTTAAAGTAACACCACGTCTTCTCTGGATAAGGTCATCAAACGCCTCCATCTTCTCCTGATACTCCTTTCTCTTTGCGGCTAACAATTTTTGCCTTCCATTTTCATGAACGTTAGAAAAGGAATAACGTCTCTGAACTGAGCCAGGCCTTTCATAATGAAAAGCCTCGTTTGAATTGTTTGAACTTTTTGTAGAATTGAGAGGAGGAGGACGTTGGTTAGAGAGATCCAAAGCAACGAAAGAAGTTGCAAAACTATCATTCTCATGGGGTGAAACCGACGATGAGTTTTTCTTATTTCCAGCCGGGTGAAAAATTTTATTTAAAAATTTCTTGGTGGATTTATTTTTCAAATGGTCCATGTTCCTTTTTGTAATATTTTTTGAATATTTTTTCTTGTGTGTGTGTCGTTTCGTTTTATACGTAAATAAAATGCGCAAAAAAAAAAAAAAAAAAAAATGTTGAAAGTTGGATTTGATTTAAACGTTGTCGCTTTTTTTTTGAAGTTATCGAATATGATTAAAGATGAAGAATGGTTTTGGTCGTAAGGGATGATTTAGTTTGAATGTTGTTCGTTACAAAAAAAAAAGATTGATAAAAGACAGGACCCAAAGGTAAGTCTTAATGCTAGTAGCTAAGCTAAGGAAAAAAAATAATCGAGAATTTGATGGTTGTGAGGAGAGTGAGGAGATGAGGTGATTAAATATTTTTTTGAAATCGAATATTTAAAAGTATTTATTAGCTACAATTTTCTTGAAAAAAAAGGGCTGGGCCTTAATTTATAAAAAAATTTTATAAACATTATTATAATATATATATATATATAATTATGTACGATTTATTGTAATTATATATACGTATATGTATTATATGTATCTTTTTTATTTATTTATTTATTTATTTATTTATATATTTATATATCTATATAATATATATATATATATATTATATATTAAATATATAATTTTTATACTAATCAATATAAATAAAAAAAATTTTTTTTATATTATATCTACATTATAGTAAATGAGTATCAATAACGTAATAGGAACCTCCTTTTTTTCACATCGAAAACCGAAAAAAAAAGAACATAGAACATATGACTACAAGAAAACAAACAATATAGATAGGGAATTTTATATTGTAAGTTCGTTTATTAGTACTCATTAGTTTCATTAGCTTCATCAGTTCTATTTCCATTAGTTTCCATTAGTTTTCATAAGCTTTCATTAGTTTTCATTAGTTTTCATTAGTTTTCATTAGTTTCATTAGTTTCATTAATTTTCACTAGTTTCATTAGTTTTCACTAGTTTCATTAGTTTCATCAGTTGAGAGTAATAATATATTCCCACCTATCAGTTATATATAGCTATATAGTTATATTATCTTATATTGTTTTATATAGTCTTATATAGTCCTATATAGTCTTATATAGTCTTATATAGTTTTATATATAGTCATATAACATTTATAGCATTTTAACGATTAAGCGTTTGATCTTCGGTTAACATTCGATCTTAATCATTAAATACACGTGTGGAAATAACGCATATACTTTTTTTTAAACCAAATTCTAGGGTAAATATCAATAATTAAACTATTCGTTATTTCATTATTTTATTATGATAATTTTGATTATAATTATTACAGTATTATTACGTATAATTTATTATTATTATAACTTGTTATTATTGTGAAATATCATTGTGAAAAAAGCATTCAGTTTAAAAAAAAATTTTTTTGCATAAAAAAAAAATTATATCGACATCTCTAAACAAGGATTCTATACAGGTGCAAAATTATCTATCTTGGTCTCCATACAATTATA